AAAATCACAGCAGATGACACCAGAAATGGGCTTCACAAAGTTTAGCCACAAAGGGAATCAAACCTGGCTTGCTTGTCACATGAGTAATTCAAGGTCATCAGCATGTTCAATGATGCAAGCACCTGCACCAAGTATGTACCCCATGCCCACTGACCACTGATACAAGCACCTGCACCAAGTATGTACCCCATGTCCACTGACCACTGATACAAGCACCTGCACCAAGTATGTCCCCTATGTCCTCTGACCACTGATACAAGCACCTGCACCAAGTATGTACCCCATGTCCTCTGACCACTGATACAAGCACCTGCACCAAGTATGTACCCGACATGTCCTCTGACCACTGATACAAGCACCTGCACCAAGTATGTACCCGACATGTCCACTGACCACTGATACAAGCACCTGCACCAAGTATGTACCCCATGCCCACTGACCACTGATACAAGCACCTGCACCAAGTATGTACCCCCATGCCCACTGATACAAGCACCTGCACCAAGTATGTTCCCCATGTCCTCTGACCACTGATACAAGCACCTGCACCAAGTATGTACCCGACATGTCCACTGACCACTGATATAAGCACCTGCACCAAGTATGTACCCCATGTCCTCTAACCACTGATACAAGCACCTGCACCAAGTATGTACCCCATGTCCACTGACCACTGATACAAGCACCTGCACCAAGTATGTACCCCATGTCCTCTAACCACTGATACAAGCACCTGCACCAAGTATGTACCTCATGTCCACTGACCACTGATACAAGCACCTGCACCAAGTATGTACCCCATGTCCACTGACCACTGATACAAGCACCTGCACCAAGTATGTACCTCATGTCCACTGACCACTGATACAAGCACCTGCACTAAGTATGTCCCCCATGTCCTCTGACAACTTATTCAAGCACCTGCATTAAGTATGTCCACTATATACTCTGACCACTTATTCAAGCACCTGCATTAAGTATGTCCCCTACGTCCTCTGACCACTGATACAAGCACCTGCACCTGCACCAAGTATGTACCCTATGTCCTCTGACCACTTTTTTACAATGACTCAGTACAGGTGTTGGTTTTTTATTTGATTTTGTGTGGTACACTACTTAAACTCTTTCCTTTTCAGTCTTCACACCTATCAGTGAAGATTTAAGTATTGCACATCAGAGTAAAGACGAGGATATTCCTCACACACATCAGGAAAACTCCTGAACTGTCAGTGTTCTGTTACATCCTGGACACTGACTCTGGCACCCCAGGAAGCGGTGACTCACAGTCATCACCAGCTCCCCTGTGGACTATGCAGCTATATTCTAGCCTAGTGTTATTTAGGCAAGTACAGTAGATCCCTGCTTGCAGTGGAGGTGTAGAATCAGCTCGGTCTATATATACCTACAGTGTAGATAGATGCAGGCCTTCCTTATCACTCCCTGTAGTCAGAGGAACAGATTCCTTCATGTGAGTAACTGACTGCTCTCTGTGTGTCGTGGCCTGATAGTACGTACTCCTGGTTACGGAGGCAGGCATCTGTGTACACTGACTGGCTCAGGTAAGACATGAATTACTGATGAATTAGGCCATGGGGGGAATATCTGTCTACATTGTTGATGGCTGTGTTCTGGTGATGTTGATCTTAATCTCGACTTAACCTACAAGATTCTTTATTATGAATGTCACAGGAACTTAATTTGTTGGGTTATTTTATTGGTTACAGTGGAGTTGTAGATGATTTGAAATGTTTTTGTTGCTATTTTTTCGTGGTTTTTGATGAAGGTCGTAGAACTTTAATCATGTGTTAATTTATTTGTATTTTGTGATATTACTTATGCAATGGTCATGGTTTGATTCCCCACATGGGCACATTGACTGAAGCCCATGTCTGGTGTCCCCCAGCATGATATTGCTGGAACATTGCTAAAAGCGGCATAAAACCACTCACTCACTCACTCACTCACTCCAGCCGTGAAGATCCGGGTTAGAATCGGTCTTCTGAGTAACCCATGCTTGTCGTAAGAGGCGACTAACGGGATCGGGTGGTCAGGCTCGCTGGCTGGGTTGACACATATCATTGTATCCCAATTGCGTAGATCTATGCTCATGCTGTTGATCCCTGGATTATCTGGGCCAGACTCGATTATTTACAGACTGCCTCCATATAGCTGGAATATTGCTGAGTGTGGCGTAAAACTAAACTCACTCACTCACTCACTCATTGCTATAAAACTAAAAAGTATTGAAGTCACTCCTGAAAGTTATGATGACACATAATGAAACTGTAAAGTACAGTAATATTCAGTTTGTAAACTGCTGTTCTACCATGCCACTACAGCCACAGCACCAATTCACTATTTAAATTGAAAAGGAGCCCAAGGGAGACCAGAGATTCCTAAACCTGGGGAAATAAATCCTTGCTTCTTTAGGGCTTCAGCATTGCAGAGAGGGCTAGGCAGTAGGAAAATAATATGGTTCAGGGGCCGAGACACACTAACTCATGCATGTACTAACTTTTGGAGAAAATCCTGAAATGTTGCAGGCCTCAACACACTGCTCATGTGTTACAACTGCAGAATGTTTCTACATGAACATATATCAGTGTGCCTATCACAGGCTGATTACTATGATCATCTCAGCATACTCAAGAACGTTTAGCTAATTTCAAAGTTGCAATATGAACCCAGTGGTTGATAATGTAATCAACGTCCTTGACAACATGTTTACTTCTGAGATCCCACAGGTGCTGATATGCACACGGGCGGTAATGTCCTGGAATCTGCTCGGACGTTGACCCAGTCAATGCATGAGGTACTAGGGACCTATTTTCTCTCAAATTACTCATGGGGTGTTGGGACACGAGACCTATTTGTCTTAGAATATACATCGGTGTTGAGATACTAGTGCTGTGATGAGATTAGGCAGTTACACACACAGGCATGATTTGTCACTTTGGTTTGGATGTACCACAGGGGCTTGTAAAAACTGCCATCAAGGTATATACTGTCACTGAGGGGGTCTTAGTACTATCCTTTTTATAGTACTAAGACCCCGTCAGTGACAGTACAGGGCTCCAGATAAGGTCTGTATCGGCGTATGTACGGATAAAAAATATGCACGATACGGTAGGAAATAATTTAGAAAACGTAGCACATACGCACCACAGCAATAGTGTACGGTCTTGGAATCATTTACAGACGTATTTATCTGAAAGAGTGTTGTTTATTGTTTATTGACCTGTTTACACAAAAGTAGTAATGTTGTGGTGCATATATGAAACGAAACACAAGATTACTGATACGCCATTAAATTCCATTCAGTACTCAAAATGTACTCTTAAGTTTATCCAGTACTCCTATATTGAAAATATAAGGAGTACGTACTCCTGATGTTGAAAAATTATTTGGAGCCCTGCAGTATATAACTTGATGGCAGTTTTTAGCATTACAAGCACCTGTTGGACATACCACAGAACAGCTCTGTGCAGTGTGCAAAATGCATGCTGGTCCTGTGGTCCTTGGCTAGTAATAATTCATCAGGACCACTAAATGAAAAGCTTGCAGTGGTCCTGGTGTCCAGTGAATTTTGTATTGATAGTTAAGTAAGTCTACAAATGGTATTTCAGACCAGTGATATACAATCTTGACCACTAATTATTGTCTACTCAATGGTCCTGTGATCTTGTGGGAAAGTTTGAAAGGTTTCTTTCCTTGGAACATGTTCTTGTAAAACTGTTAAAAGAGAAACAAATAGTTTCTAGGAATGAGGAAAGTAGGAGCAAGTTCCAGAAAGAAGGAACTACGGCCACTTGACATGCAACACGAGACGGGTCAGGATGTGCCTACTATGTAGTAACAAAGTGCAAGTGTGCCAGCGTGTAAACTTCCGCCAGTGTGGTTATATTTCAACACACAGGCTGATTTACTCCCTGCTACACATACCTTCACATCCGGCCCCACAGGATACCTTTATTAACACATCCTTCATGATACATGGGATATGTACGCAGGTTGAGATATGGCATATGGTAGTTTGTTATGATGAGTTTTAATAATGATAGTAATACCAACTATAACAATTATTTTGTAATTAGAATAGAGGAATAACATATAACAAATAACAGGTTTCTGTGTTTCTTTCTCAGTCAGGGGGCGTAAAACTTAAGTCACTCACTTCTCAGTCAGGATGAAACCTTAGAAATTCCCAGGAGTTTGTTTTGACTTTTCCTAAGTTAAAAATATTTACTCACATTGACACAAATGTATGGTTATTACAAACTCAAATTTGTTTATGACCAACGTGTAATGTTAGCAATAAACATTGTAATTTATTTGTGACATTTATCTTAGACTTTTGTTAGATGCAGAAAATATACCTGAAGATTTAATCAAATCTTGTGTAATAGTGAGTGCATTTGTTTGGTGTCTCATGTCTGTTAGCAACAATTAAAAGACGTTCTGAATTATTTTTTTAGAATATATATGTGTGCTGGTTATGGTAAGAAAGTAAAGTATTATTAGGGATAGTCATGATATTCATAAATTGTCACTAACCCTAGCTAACCATAGCTAGTGCTAACGTGTGCTTAGCATGGAAGGGGACTTAGATGGGCAGGATTGATGACTCTGTTGGCTGTGTGTACTTTAACAGTCTCGATTGTTGTTCATAGAGTCATAACGTCAGTTACGACATTCCAGGCATTGTCAAATGAAGACTAACTTGATCGGATGGTCAGGCGCTCTGTCTTGGTTCAAGCATGTCATCGTATCCCAGTTGTGGAGATCAATGTTCATGGCATTGATCCCTGTGTTGTCTGGTCCTTATAACTCTGCCATTTACGGACCAATGGAATAAAGCTGGAAAAATGCTGAGAGCCAAATTACCAAAAAGCACTAAAGACATGTTTATCGACAGTCACATAGCTGGAATATTGTTCACTGTGGTGTTAAACAACAATAAAACACAATAATTACCTTTATTTTCTTGTTTATGATTTCAGATGATGAGGACTGAGAGGAGCCCCCTGCACCCCTCAGCACGTGAGAGTCCGCCAGTCTGCTATCTCCACACCACCTACTAATCAGTGAGTCACTGCAGTACATGTTGTAGTAGGCTGTCTTCCTCATCACAGCAAGCACCTGCTGAACTAACAGCATTACTGGTGCTTTATGTACCATTAGCTACCAACTACATTATATTCTGAAGGGGGCCTGGAATTATTTTTTCTCAACCACTGCTTCCAGACTAGACCAACTCTTATTCTCTGATAAAATATATTTCTGACAGAACAAATAACTCCATATAAATGAAGAAAGTCAGTGAGCTTGGAGATGCAGAACCTACAGAAAACTAGACATTGTTTTGTGCTGTGTACAAAGGACTGGGCGGAGTGGACATTTATGTAGTTCCGGAACTACGGACCACTTCAAGACACACTTCTTTCCTGTCTGAAACCTGTTGTAGGAGAAGCTAAATGGTTGCATATTTTGCACAACGTATTTTTGGTCAGAGCACCAGTAAGTCTGAAGCCATTATTTTATACAATACCAGAGTCAAAATAGTCCACTGAGTGTCCACTGCAGCATTGCCCAGAACATCAATGGTAGCCTAGTGTTTAAAGCATTCCCTCGTCAAACTGAAGACTGTGTATGAAATAAGGCCTGTCCGACCGCCCGAGATGGGCTAGATTTCTGACGGACAGTCTAAATTTACAGCTAGCCAGTCCGATGGTCTGGTAAAAAATTTGGATGTTCCATACATCTGAGTAAATTTACAATATCTTGGTGTCTGGTCTGGTTAAATCCATCATGTCTGACTGGGTTTTTAGCTTATTTCATACACTGCTGAAGACCTGGGTTCGAACCCCCACATGGGGACAATGCGTGAAGCCCATTTCTGGTGTCCCCCGCCATGATGTTGCTGGAATATTGCTAAAAGCGGCGTAAAATCAAACTCAGTCTGTCAGTCAGTCGAATCCCCACATGGGTACAATGTGTGAAGCCCATTTCTGGTGTCCCCCGCCGTGATATTGCTGGAATATTGCTAAAAGAGGTGTAAGACTAAACTCAATCAGTCAGTCAATGGTCAGCTGAACTGAGAACATTACTGGAAGGTTATGCCAGTAGTTTAAGCTATATCCCTTCCTTTTCATCTATTTCAGCATGCTAGTGCTGATCATAGTTTTCAGGGTTGATTGTGTGGAGCTGACACACTTATTGTTCGCAGGCTGGTTTCAGATCATCAACACAAAGGGGAGTCATTTCATCAGGGGTGTGTTTGTTTAAATATATTTTGTGAAAAATTGCTCGCAGCTGGATGAAAGTCTGTTTATTTTTTGTTTGGATTCTATGAAGTGTATGTGCTAACTTAGACAGAAAGTTAATGGAATTGCTTTTGTCAAGTGTTGCCATGTTTTTTGCTGTTTCTACTTGAACCTTGTCATGTACTATTCTGTAGAGGCGTAATTACTTTCTTGTGTTCTCACTATTGGGGGCGGTGGGGTAGCTTAGTGGTTAAAGCGTTTGCTCGTCACACTAAAGAGATGGGTTCGATTCCCAACATGAGTACAATGTGTGAAGCCCATTTCTGGTGTCCCTGGCTGTGATATTACTAGAATATTGCTAACATTTTGTCCTACATTTTAAAACAAATATCCAATTTTGTCCAATATCTTTTTGACTGAAAAAGGCAGGTATTGTCTGTTCATTACTGATATTAATCATCACAGTTTTCTATCTTTTAATGCAATTCATTTGTTGAGAATAACATTTAGGTGTTACTAATTGATGAGTGATATTTCTTTCTCAAATTTTAGATTATGGGTGCTACAACAAGCAAGAGAAGGAAAACCAAAAAAAGAAGGAAAGATGGGGGTGACCTTGACCTTGACACTTCACCATATCAGGACCTTGAACGTTTGAGGACATTGTCAAAAAACCCGACTCAACCGACTCTCGGCTGAAATGGACCGCCTGTCAGTCCCCACAAGTCAGTATTACTCCAGTGATTCCCTGCTTATCCCAGACACACAGAGAAGCACGATGTCTCTGAACAGGAATCTCATTGGACATCCAACATATCATGTGAAGGGGTCATTCAGTGCAGACAATCTGATCCTAGATGACCATCCTGTCCTTACCAAACTTCAAAATGAACAGAATGCTCGACTGGAGCACATGGAACAGAGAATTACGAAGATCCGTACCAACGCCATGCAGGCAGCAGAACGGAGGAAGTATGCTCACATGTTCCGTGCGAAATCAGATGACTCAAGAACTGCCAAGCTTCTAAAAGAAGCGAGTGAGGCTCTTGAGGCTTTAAAACGTGAGAAGAAATCTCAAATGACACTCAGTGAGGAATATGACAAGGGGGAGATAATCCCTGTGAGAATTTTGTGTGAAGAGCAGCAGAGGCAGAAGGAAGAATCCAAACCAGCTAAAAAAGTATCAAAAAAGGAAGAACTGTGGCCGGCTCAACTGCAAGCCTTGAACTTTGGTATGTATCTTGTTGGATCTTGTTGCTGTTATTTGTGATTGTATATGTAAGTTAGTGAGGTTTTCTGATGCTTTTAGCACTGTTTATTACATTTTATTGAAGGTAAAATGACATCGATTGGACAGCTGCTTCACATACCTCATCTTACACACTCTTTCAGGACTGTGTCTGCGCAGAGAGACCCAGTTCAGTCCCTAGTCATGTTATACCAAAGCTATTTTAAGATGGTACTTGTTATTTCCCTGCCTGGGGTGGTGGGGTAGCCTAGTGGATAAAGCGTTAGCTCGTCATGCCAAAGACCCGGGTTCGATTCCCCGCGTGGGTACAATGTGTGAAGCCCATTTCTGATGTGGGGTTTTAGTTAGGGTGTGGTTTTTGTAATGATGGGTCTGCTTTCAAGGCAGTTATTGGCTGAAAAACTGGGACTGTTGGGATTTCCTGATGTGCTTACAATCATACTCATTCCTTGACTTTGCGTGATGATAGTGATTCTCTGATTCAGGTGAACCGGTCACATGGCTTCTGCTGCCATTTCTTCTTCCCCTTCTGCTCGTCCTCTACCTCATCAGATCAGTTGGTAACCAAGGCAATGACAGACAAAAGAAGAGACAATGATGACTACTTAAGATGAAGACTTTGTGCCTCATAACAACCTTAAGACAACTTAACCCTCACATCAACACGACTCAGTTAAGTTCCTCTGTGACATGGAATTTATACATTCACAGCAGTCAATGTCAGACCTTCCACGGATATTTCGAAGATGGTGGAAAACTCATACGCCAAGTTTTTAATTCCTTTGGAGACAAACCTTATGTGATTCACAGCTCTGCAGCCCTGGTGCTTCATTACTTGAAGGTGGATGTGTTTAGTCATATCTTCGCACACATCGCTATGGAATCCATGCCAACATTGTACAACCACGCTCTGTTCTTTCAAAGCATGAAACATCCCAACAGGTGCACTCCAAACCCAGGATAGGCTTCTCAAAGGAAGGAATATGTTGAACATATTGAAGGAATATTGTATTCATACTGTCTACAGTAATGCTGATTTCCAGGATATATCGTAGGATTCAGCAGCTTTTTGTGTCTGAATCACATGATGAAAAGAACATCATCCTAATTAGGCCCTTACCTTACACCGAGGAAAGAAATATCAACAAATATTTAAATTGGAATAACATAGGAATAATAGTTTAGTTTCAACATGTTTCTATCTTTTATATGATGATTCTACTCATGGTGTTGTCACCAATTTGAAATCGAACAATAACAAATTTGTAGTGCCCGACTACAGAATGGTCACATGACTTCTTGGAAGGTTATACTTAATCCTGCAGGTGCTTTCAGTTCTTGAAAACCTGACAAGAGATCCCACACCCATACACCACTGACATCTTGGATGACGACGAATTTGCATTTGAGACAAAACCATGGTAATATGAATATTTTCACAGTTCATGTTTAATTTCCTGGGTATGATGTGTATTGAAGAGTGTGCATGAGATGGAGAGTTGTGAACTAGGAGACTCCCTGCTGATTGTTGTAATGACGATTGGCAGATTCACCATACACTGATGTTCAAATAATTGATATTAACAAATCAAGAGGAATTACGTCCAGCTATTCTTCTTGTGACTACTTTTGAAACATTTGTAAACAGTGGTAGAGTTTAGTGGCTGCTGAGGTCCCTGATTGTGTGTTGGATACACTAAATGTTTACTTTTAAAATGAATGTTATGACAACAATCCTGTCTTTCATGGTAACTTATGTCAGTCTGTTTCGGACTATTTTTTCGGAAGATTTTTGTGTCTTCATACCTCTACTTGTAACGAATAAATGCAGATTTTCAGAAAAGGATTCTCAGGATTGTGAAACTCTAGTCTTTGTATCAGAGTATGGTGACTGATTGCTGAAGCGTCATCCCAACTGCGTGCCTATCTACACCTGACGATCAACTGACATAATACCTGATTTGTGATACTCCATACATGACATGACACCAGTACCTTCGGAGCACATATCCACAATCAGTATGCTTCAATGGATATGGAAGATTGACAATCTTGCTCTGAAATCACTTGGTCATGTTCATGCTGTTATCCACGTATGTGGAGAAGATTATTTACCATTGGATATTTGGTCCTGATCATACAATATGATGTTTGTTGTGGTAATTGTTATGATATTTGTGATGATACAGTGCATGTCATGGTGCAGTGCTTGTCATGATAAAATTCATGTCATGGTGCAGTGCTTGCCATGATACAGTGCATGTCATGGTGCAGTGCTTGTCATGGTACAGTGCTTGTCATGGTACAGTGCTTGTCACAGTGCAGTGCATGTCACAGTGCAGTGCATGTCATGGTACAGTGCTTGTCACAGTGCAGTGCATGTCATGGTACAGTGCTTGTCACAGTGCAGTGCATGTCACAGTGCAGTGCATGTCATGGTACAGTGCTTGTCACAGTGCAGTGCATGTCATGGTACAGTGCTTGTCACAGTGCAGTGCATGTCATGGTACAGTGCTTGTCACAGTGCAGTGCATGTCATGGTACAGTGCTTGTCACAGTGCAGTGCATGTCATGGTACAGTGCTTGTCATGATAAAATGCATGTCATGGTGCAGTGCTTGCCATGATACAGTGCATGTCATGGTGCAGTGCATGTCATGGTACAGTGCTTGTCATGGTACAGTGCTTGTCATGGTACAGTGCTTGTCACAGTGCAGTGCATGTCATGGTACAGTGCTTGTCACAGTGCAGTGCATGTCATGGTACAGTGCTTGTCACAGTGCAGTGCATGTCATGGTACAGTGCTTGTCACAGTGCAGTGCATGTCATGGTACAGTGCATGTCATGGTGCAGTGCATGTCATGGTACAGTGCTTGTCATGGTACAGTGCTTGTCATGGTACAGTGCTTGTCACAGTGCAGTGCATGTCATGGTACAGTGCTTGTCACAGTGCAGTGCATGTCATGGTACAGTGCTTGTCACAGTGCAGTGCATGTCATGGTACAGTGCTTGTCACAGTGCAGTGCATGTCATGGTACAGTGCTTGTCACAGTGCAGTGCATGTCATGGTACAGTGCTTGTCACAGTGCAGTGCATGTCATGGTACAGTGCTTGTCACAGTGCAGTGCATGTCATGGTACAGTGCTTGTCACAGTGCAGTGCATGTCATGGTACAGTGCTTGTCATGGTACAGTGCTTGTCATGGTGCAGTGCTTGCTATATAAAATGCTTGCATGATTCAGTGCTTGTCACGACACAGTGACATTCATTATAATCAGCAAGTTGGGAACTTGGTACAAAACAAACAGTATTTACCTAAAAGGGTGGCAATGTTGCACCTATGTCACAGGCCACAGGCCATCTTGTGATGTGCGATGTGTCTCCGCCAAGGGGCCACTCTGCCTCCTGTTTGTATTACATGCATGTAGTATTATTTTGATATGAGACTATTGATTTTCATATTACCATGGTAACTGATATTCAAGTATATCATGCAAATACAGTATGTTTCCAATCCTGGTTTAAGATAGTGTCAAATTGTGGCATTTCAGTCTAAGCATTGTGTCACCTGTGAGTGAAGAAATGCTTGACCACTTTCAGCAGAAATCTGTGATTGCCAAAGATTTGTATTGTGCAATGGTGATATTAGTTTACAAAGTATGTGATGACCCCTGTCTAGTCACTGATGTGTTTTCAGGACCTACAACATCATGTTTTAGCAGATATCAACAGTGTATTACAAGTTGGAACCATGTTTAATGACAAGACATTCAAATAACTTCGTGTTATTGACTTAGGCCCATGTTCAAGTGCCAACTCACTGACATGAGTTTTTTGCAGGTGAGGTAAAATGTTTATGATCTATTGACCATCTTGACTGATTAGAAAATTGATGCAGACCCTTATTGACACCATACATAATAAGTTCAATTGGGTTTTGTGGATACAGTTTGTAGAACAAACAAATTCATACCTCAATGATGGGCTTAAATATAGGCTTCAGATGAAAATTACTACGCAATTTATTTCCCTTCTGTGCGGCTGTTGGTTGTAAACAATGTGTCTTCAGAAAATAATACTTCTGAGCTGTTTTATGGATATTTAACTACATTACAGACTGATCTAGAATTTGGTCAGGGGTTTTACAGGAACATTGTGCTTAAAACAGTGAATATAAGGGATGTCACGATACATAAGTTTCATGAATCAATACGTATCACGATACCCATGTCACGATTCGTTACGTATCACGATACCTATTATTGCATAAATTTAGTTACATTTTGAACATTAATATTTCATATTATAAAATTCTCCATGAAGTGATCAACATTTGTTATTCTCAGAGATTAAAAAGTTCTAATTTCCCATCTTTGTGCATGAAAAAAAATAATCATTTATAACTCTCATAACATCAAAAAAACATGATACAATTGCAAAATGTAAGCGATACATAAACATATTTAAACCAATACTTTCAAAACTAAATATCGATACAGTTTTGAATGTATTGATAATTGTATCCTCTTAGAGAAAGTATTGATTCATCGATGTATCATGGCATCCCCAGTGAATACAGAAGCTATGTGTATCTTGTTTTGTCGGGTCAGTGGGGTAGCCGAGTGGTTAAAGCGTTGGCTCGTCACGCCGAAGACCCGGGTTCGAATCCCCACATGGGTACAATGTGTGAAGCCCATTTCTGGTGTACCCCGCTGTGATGTTGCTGGAATATTGCTAAAAGCGGCGTAAAACCAAACTCAGTCAGTCTTGTTTTGTCATCTAATACACAATAACGATCACTATGGTTTTACTGAACATTTTCAGGCAAGTCACAAAGTATACAGTTTGTAATGAAATTAACCTTAGCTCCAGTCTATGAATGAAATAGAGTTAGACTGATACAGCAATGATTTTGTGTAATACCAAATATGTTTAGGGTGGTAATATTTCTGAAAGCCTTGCCTCAAGTAATACTGTGTACAAGGTTGGACAGTATTATGATCCTGCAATGACTGAATACAACATCTGTGAGTGTGTTACAACACTTGGGTAATGGCACTGCTGTAAGGTAATATAAGTAGTGGGAGTATCATCTGTTATGCTACATTTGACAGGTGATAACAGAAATATTGTCTACTTGGACTGTACCATTAGCCAGCTAGGGGAGCAGGGATGTGGGTGAGGTCATTCAGTACAGCTCATGGGAGATGAGTCACTCTCACTACTTTCCTTATCACTGGTTGCAAGTTGCCAGGAGGCTGCGGTGGCAGATACGCCATGCGTCATATCAGACTGGAACAAGCAGCTGGACATAGCTTGCCTCCTCCTCCCCCCCCCCCCCCCTACAGTGGGATACAATCACTTGCTTGTTATGTACACTATGAATCATCTAAGTGTGGTACCTCCATCACAAACAAAGTGATGAGTTAGACATGCAGTGTTCACATTTGAGAGTGTCCTTGATAATTGCTACTGTAGTATTGGAGACTATACATTAACTATTTTTAACATTAGGGGTTTGACAACCCCCTTGACTTTTTATGGTAAATTGGACCTGGCAATGCAATAGTGCTGCTAGTCTTCAGTGATGGAAAGTGAGGTTTATTAGGTCCGTGAAGTTTGTGCTCCTATAGTATTTAAATCAAGGTTCCCTTAAATTTGTAACATTCAGGACCCCTTGACTTCCATGTTTAATTTTGATAATAATTGTTTATGCAAGATGAAATGTCAAAATATTTCAAGTGTATCAAATCCGTCACGTTCATATTTTACCAATAGTGATGTTATGATAGTTTCTGTTTATATAGATTCAGTTTAACCCAATTGAATAATGTTTGCAGAAAATTGAATTATTGAAACTGTTGACTTAGTCTGTTTGAATTAGACAGGTACACATTAAATAAATGACACTCATGAGTTAATATATTTTCTTGACATAAAGTGTCTTAGCTGTTGAAATAAATATTGAAATTGTTTTTCATTACTGCCATTTTCATGCGACATGTGACAATCTATTGATGCCTAAAGTTTCAAAAATAATATATTTTCATATATATAAGTGTACAGATGAAATCTATGACTTGAAAATAAGAAAATGTCCATGAATTTAGTCTTTCACTTATCCTTGCATTTAAAGGGTATGTTCTCTACCAACACCAAGCCTTCCTCTGTTATCCAGTGTCGAATGCCTCCATTGTCATGTGATCAGTACCTTGGAACCTTTCGCCACTTCGTCTTGGGAGTGTCATCACCAGCTCCTTTACTATCACTAATGTAGCACAGTTTCCTTGCTCATCAGTTTAAAATCAACATCGAATCAAAAAGCGTCTACATGCAGTTTCCCATTTCTGGTGTCCCCCGCTGTGATATTGCTGGAAAGCGGCGTAAAACTAAACTCAGTCAGTACATGCAGTTTCATAGCCTCATCCGAGTAATCTCTGGATCGGTTTAATACAATCAGAAAACTTTCCTGATTGAATATTCAGCAGGAAAACATGTTTCCTGAGTAGGAAGAAGATATGGGAGAGGAAATATCTTTGCCGTTAGATGCCTTGGTTGCTGATGACACAGCTTGCAAAGGCCAGTACGGTATGTCTGATAATAGGGGCGGTTGGGTAGCCTAATGGTTAAAGCGTTCACTCATCATGCCAAAGGCCCGGGTTTGATTCCTCACATGGGTTCAATGTGTGAAGCTCATTTCTGGTGTCCCCTGCCGTAATATTACTAAAGTGGCGTAAAACCATGATATTACTGCCTCATGTTTCAAAAATGAAAATGCCAAACAGTGTAAATTGGATTTATTTAAAACAGGCATGGAATTGACAGGGTATCCATGACAACAGACTAGGCATATGCAACACTGGATCACTGAGGAGGACAATATGCCTTCAGACTTGATGTAACTGTTTGAACCCCTGCCATTCTAAACAGACATCTGTATACAGGTGTTATAGTGGGGGTGTGATAAGTGTGGTTATTACCTCAGATATGTGGTGTATTTTACAGAAGAAACCATAGCTGTAGCAGTGCATGATCTATGTGATAATACCTGTCCATTAAAAACTGTACAGTTTGTTCCTAAACCACAATATTCATGTAGTACTTTTAAATACTTGAATATAGGGCAGCAGCTGAAACTATCGACTTTGCATTGTAAACCAGTGGAGAGTGATTTAGTGGTCATGTTGATTCTGTCTGCATTTATCACAAGGTGCCACATGTTATGTTGTAAAATGAAATCTTTGTTGTGCTTCATGTATTAATGCACCTCAAATTTCTATTTTTGAAATAGAATTATATTATTTATATATGTTGATATGT